GACACTGACATGCTTGAAGTGTTTTGCATTGCTAGGTTGCTTCAAATTGTAAATCAATGTAAAACAACACTAAGAAAAAATATTTCTACTAAGACCTTCAAGTCTATGTCAAGTCTCATTAGATGCCAAAATTTTTTTAAACAGTATGACTGAAAGAAAAAATGAGGCTTTTGTTCTCTGAGCCAAACTCTCCTCTGTATATGCTATATTTTGAAGAATTGGGAAAGAAGGTTCTATAGTCTCCACTAAGAAGAGGTTCTATCAATAAAGGTAAAAATGTGTCTGATTACTCTTGAGATAGAAGTCATAGGGGCAAGATATTCTACAGAACTTCAACAGACCCTGGCAACTTCAAAAGAGTAACGTGGCAAATCTTGGAGTACTTTCCACAGCTAAAGAAGGAAGATGAGACTTTGAAAGTCCACAAGATATAGTGAATGTAGATGCAGTTCTGATCCAAAATTCTATTACCTGACCAGAAAATAATACACTAAAAAACATCGTATTAAATTAGAAGTAGTAAAGCACAGTATTAAAACTATAGTATAAATAGTTAAGATATAAATTAAATAAACTTTGGTAAAGCAATTAGAGTTTACCATAAAAATTCCTTATTTAAAGAAAAATATATTATCAGTCACATTTATGTGTATAAAAATTTAATTTTTTTTCACAGTGGGTTTTACTGTTATTTTAGTATTCAGTTAAGTTGCTCAAAATAAGAATGAACAGTGTGTTCATGATGCAAGAACATTATCCCTTGCTTGTGAGGCTTAGGACAATAAAACAACTGCGTCTGAAAAGATGCACTGAAACTACCTCAGTCCTGGATCAGCTCTCCTATATACATAAGCCCATTAAAGGAGAATTTCCCACTCCTATGAAGAGGACCTTACATGATGTTATTCTGAATTGTCTCAGAAGCTGTTTTACTGAAGCTTGCATCAGTCAGTCCCAAGATTTTTGTGTAAAACCATTTTTATTCAGTCATTACGGGTTCCTCTGTTTTAGCTTTTGGATATTCAGTGCCTGATTCATACATCTGAGCTCAACTGAAAAAAATCAATAATACTTTTATTAAAGCTTTTAACACAGCACAAAATTCAGGGTTGCTAAGTTATACAAGATAGTGTTTCTGAACTAAGCCCACAGTGTGCATGAATAACTTCACTGAGATCATGAGACTGGATGCTTATGAATTCAGGGGCGTTATTTCTGCAAATGTCCAGTTTTAGGTACTGCCTTATTCAAAGAGTTTTGGACATATTCTTTGAAGAAATTGGCCTTTAAGCTTGATGCATGTCTAAAGAGTTGTTGAATTCCTTTGCCATCACTTCCATTTGCATGTTCTAGCCTCACATAAAAACCTTGTTTCAGCAAAATGGATTCCTATTTTGCTGAAATAAGAACTTTTCTGTACTTTAAAAGCAAATATCTTATTTTACAGCTTCTTCCTTTCTATCTTCTAAAAAGTAAACTGTGGAGCAGAGAAGGATGTGAAAGAATATTAAAGAAATGTAGATTTTTTGCTGTAATTAGAACTCAATACAAAGTATTACCAGATATACAACCTCTTCATCAAAAGCCTGGTTTCCACGGTGACCAGCACATCGTCTGCTGGTTTGTTTAATTTTTGAGAAAACTTGCTTTTTAATGTCACCATCCCCAAAATTAGGATAGAAAATAAGCTTAGAGAAATGTGATTTTTTTCCCTACAGTATCTGAACCAAACTGAGGACTTAGATGCCCACACAGTATCAGCATAATGCATCATTCTTTTTATCTAAAGCTTGCTCATCCAATACAGTTACTAGTAGCTACTCTACTCTGCCAAAAACGTTCATCAAGGAATTTTTTTAAGCCATATGGGTGACAGTGACAAGCAGGTGAACCACTGCTCAAGCTCAACACCTTTAAACTCTGTAGGAATATAACTTAAAACTTGGTGTGCTGGATCAGGCTAGAGGCCTTCTAGTCTACTGGCTGGAACATTGTGCTCCCAATAATAGCCAGAGATCTTAATTTCTGCCACCTTTATCATTAAAAGTGACCACTTCTTCCTTCACCTTGTGAACTGAACTACTGCATCCCTTAGCCATGAGAGAAACCCCATTCTAACCAGCCATAAAACCAAGCTGAGCTCATGATTTTCTATATACACCAAAATAGCTGAATTTTACTTTCGCTATCTCCAGTTGGCTTTTACAGTCAGTTCCCCACTTGTTACTCATGGTATTCAACATAAAGAAAGACTAAAAAGCCTTGTGCCTCATCTCCCTGCCTGGGAGGAAACACCTACCACTGGACCAGTCAGATGGCTTTCTTGCCTCTGCAGTCCCTTTCTTGTCCCTAGTCACCACGTGTTTATATAGTAATCAACATTTATATGATACAGACACTGCCTATTTCTCACTGCAAATTTCATCCTCTATTCAGCTGCCCAGCACATTCAACATTTAATTCAATCCCACATCCTATTTTTAACAATGACTCATTTAATCTCATCCTCACCCTCTTGCAGTCTCAGTTCAAGACTATTATATAACTCAAACCAGTAAAGTATACAGCTACAATTTTTTACTGTTACAGCTTCATTGCTTATAATGTCTGCCAAAGATGACTTTTATTTTAATGCAACATTGGATGTTTACTAATACAGGTTCTCAATAACCAGCTGTACTGATAACAAGAGATAATACTTTGTTTAACCTGCTAACTTGAAGATCACCTAGAGACATCTGATTTCTGGTTCGACTTGATAAACACTACCCTTGTGATCATGCAGAATAGTTGAATAATGGCTCCACCTTTCTGTTTCTTTCTCCCTCACCTACTATACACAGAATGGCATAACATAATATCTGCCTAAGGGAAAAAATAATAATAAAAGCCTGTTTTCAGCAAGCCTGAGGTACAGCATGTTCTTATCTTTATGCATAGACCTGCATGAACACTCTCCCTTCTCCCACAAAATTAATCTCCAGTAATTTATTTTCACTCTTCAATATTTTCATCTTAAAAACTGAAGTGCTTCAAGGATATGTATGACAGTATTTTTGGCAAGGGAGAAAGAGGCACCCAGGGGAAGCACTTAGAAGAATAAGAAAGAAGTATGCAGGTATTTCTGCATGAGGTGTATTTGTAAGTTTTAGTCCTGATGTGGAAAAAATTACTGGGCTTTGAGAACTTGTCATTTGAAAAGCAGCAATTACTTCTGTAACTCCAGAGTGATGTCTGACATAGACCTCAGGTTTTTTATTTTCTACGCAGACAACAGATAGTCAAATACCCATTTCAGATTACTGCAGCTTTATTTCAAGGACAGAAGGGAAAAATGAGGTAGGAAACAATGGACAAAAGGAAGCACAGACAGAGAGAGCAGTGGTATATTTAAATAGAAATTTTGTTTATCATAGGTTCAATTACTTCATGCTGCTCTACAAGTGAGACTTTCCATTGATTCTAACAGAGTTTAAACAAAGTCCTGACTTGCAAGATGAAACTCAGGATTAAGGGGGCTCCAGCAGGGTAATCGGGATTCAACAGGAAGCATATCAGTACATTTAGGAATTCTGTCCAAGAGGTTTTTTGCCCTTTACAGTGAATGCTACTTGCTCTTCTCAACCAAAACACATGGTTTAGACATAAATGCCATGGCAGAGCTGAAAGCAATCAGACACAAGCACTCAGGAGCAAATATTCTACTGGACACCAGATCAACATCTGGCAAATAAGCCCTTTGCTCATCTGTTACAGGAATAGGCTCCCAGCTAGAAGCTGGCCATGGACCTGCTCTCCAGAATGAAGTGATCCACTCTCCCCTTGGCCCTCAGCAGCAGCCTGCCACCTCCATGGGCATCCTCCATCCTGACTGAATGAGGGGTACAGGCACCACAGTGGCTTGCTGTGCTTGTTGTCTCAGTTTGAACCTTTCAGTTTCCTAAAGCCCCAAGCAAGCAAAACACCTCACCTGTGATCCAGGCATGGGACTCCGCAGCCAGCGTGAGAGGAAAAGCTGCATACTGGAGCTCCCTCCAGCCATCACCTCCTCAGAGCTGAGCAGAAGCAGGCTGGGGCAAGCCAAGATGCATAGCTGGAAGCTCCCTTTCCCTGGAAATGCTATAAATGAAGAATGCGAAATAGATAGAAAATAGGGAACAAATTCACAATAGGTACACAGACCAAAGAGGTGGGCAGGAAGGAGAAGGAAAATAGATTTTCAGAGGTATACAATTAGAGGAATGACTGAAGAGGAAGAAATGTAAACACAAATGTTAAAAATGAGCAAAAAGAGGGAAATAGAGCAGTTGAAAGGGTAGTCAGGATGGCATTTTAAAAATTGGTAATTCCAGGTTTTTTCCTTGAACTTCATTGCTCTTCTTTCAATGAGGGGAGTAATGGGATACAAAGTTGGTTACCTTAAACTGAGCTTTAACAACAGAGGAAAAAGAAATAAGGGCTTTACTGGAGCTATTTTATGTAGTTAATTCCATTTCAGTTATACAGCTCCTGCTCTCTGGCTCAGTCTTGTACTGCAGTGCTACACATGAATGCTTCCCACTTGATATCTGAAACTCTTGACACATCCTTTCTCTTTTAAAGGACCAAAGCTACATTATCCATAGAAAAATGAAACAGCTCATTAAAAAAACATCGGAAAAAAATAAAGAAAACGCATTAGATATTTGGGTGGTTTTTTTGGTTCATGTTCTTTGATGTGACTATCAAAAGTAGATTTATAATAAAAGTTAGGGGATTTTCCTGCTCAAGGATATATCAGTTACTTACATATAGAACACTTCAAGGTTTAATTGTGTAATAGTCTCTAATGAGAAACAAAATAAAAAGAGCTCTATTGTTAGACCCTTAATTTCTCTGGAAGTAAAATTGGGAAAGTTTTTTTTGATTCTGTAAAGTTAACAAGCAGATACTAAATAATAATTTTATGCTTATTTTTAGTAGTGTTTTGGTTATAAAATATGCAAGATAAGGACACTGTTCACAGGGAAAGGCATGTCATTGACAGGAGAATGAAACAGATTGCTGTTCACAAACCCTTCTTTGATTTAAAGGACTAATTAAACATTTCCTTCTTGCACTAAGCCTTGAAGATTCTCTAGCACTAGAAAGCTGCAATTGGAAGAGTGGTAGGAAGACATATCCTTAGGTAAAAACCAGTTCTTCAATTACTGATTCAAAATCCACCCTAACCCTTTTCTTCATTAATTGAGTAGTTTACAAAACCAAAATATTGCCCAGAGAAAAGGAGTCTCCATGAAGTCTGATATTCAAAATAATTCTTATTGCCCCAACGGTTCTCAATCAACAGCGTAGAAATACATCCAAGAAAAACTACCCAAATAAGTTTGGACATCCAAATTTGCCTATCCAAATAAGGCAATCAAAAAGAATTGAATGTTATAAATCTAAGTCTGTGTTTGCTAAGTAGTGATGTGAGGAGGAGATTGAGTATGACAGTCCCTCCTGAGTTTAGGTTCACACAAAGCACCAGCAGGAAGCAAACAGGGATAACAAGAGATTCCTGCTTGAACTCGTGCAGTGATGTGCCAACCTCTGATCAGCAAAAAGGGCAAATATCCACGTTGTAGATAAAGAGGATGGCCAGGTCTTCCAGCTAGTTTCAAAATTAGCACAAAGAGAATGCAGGAGAGTAAATGCACTTCCAGCTCTAAAGATGCTCTCTGAAGACAAGTTTGAAGCGCATTGGTGCAACTGTTCAGGAGGCACGTGCTAGCATTGCCAGTTTTAAATGCCTTGAACCAACAGCATGATCAGTGCTGGCTGGAATTTCCAAATACATTTTACAGGAACTACCAGCTCGTTGTGTCTAGGTGGATTTTAGTTTCTCACTCATAAGCGGTAAGAATAATTAGAGAAGCAGATAAATTGTCAACTGTCAAGTTCATTAAGCATCCACTTCATTGCTTTGCCAGATCCAAATCAGGAAGTTCAGCAGCTTCTAGACTCAATCCTACAATAAGGTCAGAAGAGTACAGAAGTTTCACAGGTTTTATTTTCTTCCTTTTAAACATGAGTGTTTTAGCATGGTCTGTGCACTTAATGTCAGCCAGAATTTTGAGTAAACAGTATTGCACTTTGAATCATAAAAGCAATTCTGCTGGTAGCCAAAGTTTTGAAACTGATTAAGTAAGCACACTTAGATATTTGGAAGTATAGATTTAATGGCCCTCTCTACCCCAAGAGTCAGCAAGGACATTCTTTGTAAGATCCTAATTTATCATATTTATTGAATGCAGTATGCATTTCAGCCATTTCAGGTATAAACTTAAACACATTTAGTCTCATTTTATTAAAAAGAAAAATGCATATGATGCATTTCAGGAGCAAAAGATGACATAGCACTGGAAGAAAGGCATTCCATAGCGCTTAGCACTTCCAAAAGTGCACTCCTCTCATTTCTGAGAAAAGTAGCAAACCATTGTCTTTCTTAACAGTGAAAGACTCTACTGGTGGCTGAATGAAAGAATTGACAAGGATTAGCTCCCCTCTTCATGGCCACAATGATTAATGAACAGAGGCAGGATGCTTGTGCTGGCAGACAGGAGAGAAGGGTAGGGAAGGCAGGCTGCTCTCAGGGCATGAGACAAGTTTATGTAGCTGTCAACTGGACTTCATTGTTTCTTGGGTTCAGCTGACTACAAAGCTCCCAAGGAACATTTTTGCCAACAGTGTTTTTCCTCTTTATAAACACCACCAGGAGCTCTCTATTAGGTTTTTGCATTTCATCGCTGTCTATCTCCTGTTCACTCCTTTCAAGATGCTGTTTGGAGATCACCAAGCCAATCTCCCAAAACAGTCCCTCCCTTGATGCAAGCGCAAAAGGAAAACAGCAAAGAAGCACAAGCAGTCAGCAACACTGTGAGCACAGCAGACTTTGTCCTCGGCATTTAAAAGGCACCAAAATTCAAGGATTCTAATCAGAGATAATAAAGATGTAGTTTTTTTCTGTTTCTCAATTTCATTATTTCATCAATCACCGATTGATGAAACAACAACCTCAGAAAGAACCATCACCTTTTTACTTCCCTTAATTCCCTCTTTCCCTCCAATATACTAAGAATACATTAGGACTTTTTACCAAAAATCAATGCTTAACCACAAACTGCTGCCTGAAGTGATCCACTGACTTGATTGCTGCTGCGTATTCTGCCAAATCTCTCACAATGCCTTCAACCACAGTAAGGAGTGTCAGCACCATCTTGTGGCTTTCACTTTTATACAGAATCCCCAGTCACTTTATGAACCCTCCATATTAAGACCTGCAACTGGAGCACACACTGTAAGAGTTAAAATGAGGAGCTGCATCTCTAGGGTCACTTTGCCATTTCCTCAGACTCTGAAGGCTGCTGGTCAGGATAAATGCATGGATCAGATGCCTGTTCTTCAGACTCAACTATTTCCCCAAACTTTACAAACATTAGATTATTAAATAAACAGAAACCTACAGCTTGGGCTTTCTTTCATTAAACGGCTTTTGTTTTGTGAGTCTAAACACAGCAAATTTTTTTTGCTCTCTTCTCCCTTATTGTTCTGGTAGTTTTTCCTCTGCTTAAGCCCCAGTAAATCTCTATTCTCATTGAAAATAAGCAGTCAGTTTAGGTAAAAATCTTCTCTCTCCCTCTGTAGCAAATACTTTACCTGAAACATCCCAGGCTCCATTTGCATTTTTCATAGCTGCAGCCCACCTCCAATTAATAGCTGAATCGATCTTTCTCTACTATTTTTTGCTGAAGAAATACAGCTTATTGGAGAAAAAAGGAAAAAACCTGCTGTGCACGGTAGCAAAAGCTGCACCATTGTATTCCATAACTTTTCCCTTATTCTGTTCCAAAAAGCCATCCATTTCTTCCTACCTGACATTCTGAATATCCCTAGCAGTGATGATGCCTCCCACCTTAGACTCATCAGCACATCTCCCCAAGGCACTCCTCCTTTCCAGGCAAAAATCCTCCATAAAAATATTAACCTTGTTTCCAAACCAGTACTTGGAAAACTCCACTATTCATCTTTCTCCTGTTTAGCACTCCCCTTCCCAAGACTGCTTTCATGTCCCCCTCAATCATCGCCTTATTCACATTGCAATTCTTCAAAGTATCATTTTTCTTCAGGGGAACAAATAAATTCTTAAGCAGGCCAATATTATTCCTTTTACAGAATCCAGTTAACATTGGATCTACTTCCACTGGATCTAACTTATAAAATAGATATTACTGGAATCCTATACCACTCTAGAAAGTAGGCACCATCAAAAATATCTATATATATAGGTTTTTATATATAGGTTTTTACTGTTATTGAACAATTTAAAACTTAAAAGCTGCACAAGACAAGACAGCTGCAGAATCAGACAATACATATAAGTAAGCACTTACCTACAAATCAAGAAACAAATACAAAAATAATTTTATTTTTTCCTATGTCAAATACAGCATTCACAGCAGGTGCAATGTCTTGCAGCGTAGTAACAAAAGGCAAAGGTTTCAGGCCATGATTGTGCATGCAAAATAAAATAAAGAGGTCACAGGAATTTATGTAAATAAAAGAGTGGACATGACCTGCAGCCAGACTTCCAATAGTTTTGAGGAATAAACGTGGAACACTCTTTCAGGTTTACTTATGGTTGCAAAAGCTGTGTACTATGATCATAGTATTATTTTTTCCCTAAGTGTGTGTTTCTGTCTAACTGCAAGACAGGCCCAAATGCATCCCTCAGGAGGGTCCACCTTGAGTCCTCTACATCTTCCCTGTCTCCGTCGTGAAGTACAAGCTCTCCTGAAATAGCTCTGCTCTGGACATTCACACACCATGGACCAGGCTCAGACCAAGGAAAATAAAGTAGCTGCCTACTTTACCTTTCAGTTGCTTTGCTGGGATTTTGCAGCCTAAACGCATTTTTGGGATTATTCCATTGAAGAAAGGATGGAGTAAAGGTCCCATAACAGTGAAGAAGGGCAAATAAAGTAGTTCAGGTAATTATAGCCCAGTCAGACAAACATCATTATTTGGAAAGAGATAGTGACAAATAGTAAGTAAGCAATAAATCAAGCTGTCTTTAATCACCTTGAAGAAAAAAAGATGATAACAAAGAGTTGATATATTTTTCAGGAACAATTCATGGCAAATCAATATAATTGCTTTCAAAACAGCTGATCTAGCATACAAGGGGACAAGTCCCTGTAATGAGCAAACAAGAGAAATATAGTCTAGATGAAGGTGCACTAATTTCAGGTCAGAAGCAGTTGAATGAAATTATTCAGATTATTATCAGAAAAATGGGAAATACATTTCAAAAAGGCACAGATTTCTTGTTATATCCAGTATTTTTATGAACTATGGTACTTTCTATTTCTTTAAAATTTGTAGCTGGCACAAATTTGACAGGTATTGTTCATCTTCTGACTCATTTCTACCCAGTGCAAATCTATTCATCTCAATCCAGCTGGTCTTGTCTAGCAAATCTTCTGTAAATTATGGAATATAGCGTTCAATGTAATTAAGCATTGAATAATAATCATAAGAGACAAAGTTAATCAACAGGAACTCTTCTTGACTCCGCCAAAAACCAATATGCAGTTATGAAATATTTACCACAATGACCTTCCTCTCTGGTACTCCCTCACAAATTTTTTAGGTTAGAAAATGAGCAAAGCATAACTCATGTTTTGTCCATTCTAAACAGAAGCCTGGCTTTTATTGACCAGAGCAATCCTCTCAAACCTCCCTTATTTCAAAAGACAACTAATACTAGAAATGCAACAATTCCCTTCCACAGTCCATGAAATTGATTAATTCTGGTGTCTATTATACTCTTATATCCAAGGACAAAATCTGACACTACTTGGTAAATTATCTAGCATCACAAAATGCTGCAAAGCAACAAAAGCACTAAATTGAGACTGATGTTTCAAGTACTATGCAAAGCACCCACTAAAACCAGTTGCAGATTTATCTTTCATACTTTGTATCAGAATACACTGAGGTTTTTTTACATCCTTATCTTATCTTGAATATTGAAATCCAGCTCAGACATCACCATGCACAGTTTATTACAAGGTCCCAAACATGCCCTGCTTGAATGGAAGCAGACAGAATTTTTCCACCATCAGTAGTTAAAAAAAGAATTCTTTTTAACTACATTGTGTGAGTTGAGTGCATTATATACCAGTGGTTTAGCATAGTTTGTTTTTTAAAGAATTTGCTACTAAAATGTTATAGAGAGTTTAATTGTAAATGCACAAACGAGAAGCAGCACAGTAAGCCTGTGGCATTCTTGTGCATTTCAAGTTTTTGTAAATGATCTGATCAAGTAGCCTTGGAAATAAATGAGTGTGGATATGTCTTTAAGATTTACCCTGCCTCATTAATCTGTCCCCAAGTTACCCTCTGTCTTTTCAAGAGCTCCCCCATTTCAGCTGACACTGTACTCTTGCCTGAGCTTCCACAACCAAACAAGCTTTTCAATCACAGCAAGACAGTCCCTGAAAACTGATGTAGTTTAAAACACCTGAGGACTCTCTGCATTAGTAGTGTTATAACGAAGCCCAGAGAGAGGTTTTAACACCGGAGTTGCAGATGTGACATTCACCCTTAAGGAGTAGCTGCTGGCACAACAGCTCTACCCCTGAGCAGTAATGGTAAAACACTCTGCTCACATGCAGTACCCTCTACTCTGCTGAGGATTAGATTTAAAAATTATATTAAAAAAAACCCCCACAGATTATAAATTGTTTCACTGGATAAAGAATTAAGATATTTATTATCAGGATGAGCAATGTACCTTCTTGTGCTAGAACTTTGAACCAGCATCACCCTGCCCTGCTGAAAATGGACATCACTTGAGTGCCAGCCTGACACTATGCTGCCATGCTGATTTCAGTGTGACATTTTCATCAACTTCTCAGTGTGAACTCTTCAAAGACTTCGTAGCTTCTTAAATTAGGTGAAATAAGGTGAAAATTAGGGCATTTGTATTTTGCTTGCTAATATAATGTCCTAAAGATGTCTTTGGCTATTTGTATCCATAATTTAGAACTGGGAAATTGTTCTGCAATGCTAACAGGTTCTTATCAAGTTTTACTATTGTTTTATTATGCTACTACTATTTTTTTTTATTTTAAATTAACATTTCTTCCCTTCTCCACAGCATGACTTCTAGGTGTCAAGTGCCTCCTCACTTGCTGCCTCACTGTCCCAAAACCACTTCAAATTAAAACCAGAGTTGTCATTCATCATGTGGAAAAAAATAAGTGTCACACAGTACTTGTATCAGTAAAACAGATGGTAATGTAAACCAAGATGCAAATTAAGCCTAGAGAATATAGTCAGAGTTCATACAATCACCCCTGCACTGAAGAAGGATATGCATATTTACACGGCTCTTAAGCAGAAAAAAAGGTAAATGAAAACCACAATATTTGACCTTCCTGAAGCTGTGCAGCATTTGCCCTAATGCTCCTGCTTAGCAAGTGTCACCATCAAAGCAAATATCAGGAATGGTGCTTGAAGTGCTGGAATCTGGGATTTCCAGCTGCCAGCATCCAGACAGGTTCAGAGGATTGAGCCATTAGATCTGAGAGTTCTGGGAAGGGACCAATGGGTTTTGATTTGATATCAGCACCACTATAGAGTTTCAGGCCCATTATTTTTTGGCAACATGCTGTAACACCTTCATCAGTTACACTAAATTATATTAATGTACTGCTATACTTAAAATGAAAAGAACAGTAATACAAACCACAGTAATATACATATTTGACTATCATTTTTACTACAGATTATATTCAGCCATAGTTGCCAGCAATTATTACAATTTTAAGAACTAGATCAGCACTAGGTATTCAAAGCAGCTCTAGGTATGAACAGAATATTCAGACTTTTCAGAATATTTAAACTTTTCCACCATTATGCCTTTCAATACTGGATCTATTAATACCTTGCTCTCCATATATGCTATTCTTTTACCTGGCAGCTAGGAAGAACCTTCTAATTCTTCACTCAGTAACAAAACGTAGGCAGCAGAAATTATAATCCTTTTGCAGGGGTTCAGTTAGGAAGCATATGGATGAGAGATTCATTGATAGCCAGAAATTTTCACTGAGCTCATGACCCACTTCCTATCATCATTATGAGCTCTCAGAGACAAATACAACCAGTCTGTGGGTCGAGGTGACTTGTCCTGACATCACAACTCTTCACCAGCTTCCATCTTTCCATCAGACCCTGGGACCTCCAAACCTCAGTAGAAAAGAACACCACCATCAATCAGCATACTGCTGTTGCCTCAGATAGCTCCTGATGGATGTCAGCCTTTTAAAAGGCTGGGAGCAGAAGTGCATTGCCATGGATATAGTTGGATGCTCCTTGTACACCCTATTTTGTGATTAGCCAGCTGCCAGCAGCATTTTGAACACACACATTACATTACATGAAGATTTATGACACGCTCAGAAGAGATTGTCCTCAAATGCCTCCATTTGCTAACATGGATGCACTGTTGAATTTGCAGGCAACTCCAACATGGGAAGAGATGAGAATCTTTACTCCATGTTTCAGATGGCTGATTTATTATTTTATGATCTATATTATATTAAAAGAAAATTATATACTAAAACTCTACTAAAAGAATAGAAGACTGATTTCATCAGAAGGCTAGCAAGGAATAGAAAGGAATGGAATGACAATAAAATCTTGTGACTGACCAGAGAGTCTGAGACAGCTGGACCGTGATTGGCCATTAATTAAAAACAACCACATAAGGCAATCAAAGATGCCCCTGCTGCATTCCACAGCAGCAGATAATTATTGTTTACATTTAATTTCTGAGGCCTCTCATCTTCTCAGGAGAAAAGATCCTAAGAAAAGGATTTTTCATAAAATATGTTTGTGACACATACACCCTCATCAAACAGCCAGCCTACCAGTTTCAAAGAAAATGTACACTAATGGTATTACTGGTGCTGAGAACATCTTTGTTTCTGACACTTTTTCAGCCACGGGGGAAATTTTTAGATTAATCATTACTTTGCATAACCATAAATCCTTTCAGTGATGTTTCTGTGGCCTGATTAGGATTAGGAGTAATCAAACCACTGGCAGCAGAAACAGCTGTTTATACTGACCATAAAAATTGCTGATCAAACTAAGCTTGGACACATGAAAAACAAAGACTCACTTACCTGTGGAGTCTTGACTCAAAGTTTCTTGACTACTACTGTTGTAAGAAGGCACTGGAGTGATTGAAAGTGATGCTGGACAGGACAATGGACATGAGAAGTCATTCTGTGTAGCAAAACATCGACACCCAGGAACACAGGCATCTTCAGGGACAGTGGGACCGAGGGGTGGGTTCCCATACACACACAGATTTTTCCAGCGAAGCAGTCCTATTGCAAGAGGGCCAACAGCTTCAGAACCTGACAACAAACACCTGGAATTAAAACCTGTGTCCTTGTATTGTACAGCTTGTATTTTGGACAAGGAAGCTATAGCAAGGTAATGTTAATTCCTGTTTTGACCATTAAGTTTGTCTGTCCCCTGGAAAAGAATGCCATATTTTATTCTGTAATATGATATTCCACTATCAGTAATGTTGTTAAATGCTGGTGTAATGCTGAAAGAATACGTTCAATATGTGTCCTCCCTATACTTAACAAGAAGCATTTAATGTGAAATAACCTTCTAATTGCTCTGGGAATTCACAGATTGTGGTGGTCTTGCTCATACCTGGATTTTTTGCAGGAACTCATACATTACAACCTAATGGTTTTTCAAGTAGAAGTGGAAAGCCACTTCTTGGCTTTCTAAAGTTGAATTTTTAATTATTTTTTTTAATCACCAGCTTGCTGTGATTTTTTTGACCCCTGCAAGGTTCAGATCTCAGTGGAAATCAGGAAGTGGGAAACAGCCATTCCACTGTCACATGCACTTCTCTGTTCTTACGCTACAGTCCTCAGGAATTCTCTTATCCACCAAGCAGTGGTTCAGGATTTCTTCTGTATATTTCAGATTTTCTTTTTTGCACTTTCTGAAGATTCATATTCCATCTTACTAAAAGCTCAGCTGCATATGACATTGTGACACAAAACCATAGGGCTTATTCTGACACTGCAGCGCAGGACTGTGGAAGAGAGATTCCCTGAAGAGATTACTCTGCTAGCAGCACATGGTATTACCTCTGCCGCTTCACCAGCATCCCATCCCAAAACACAGAAGAAGAAAAAAAAATACCTATAGCTGCAAAATAAGGGGACTTACATATGTCTCTCCTACAAGTAGTATCTTAATTTTAACTCTCATGTTTGTGATACTTGCAAGACTAGGAGCATCTGAATACAAAATGTCCCATCCACAAAACTGGACTCTCAAATGCAGACAAATCAAACCTGTGATGGTCACACAAGCACCCTCAGGCCATCATGGCAACACTCACAACAAGATTACAGGTCTGACGTAGTCTTGGCTGCTGCATCAAGCCAGGACTGAAATACAACACAGAAACTCAGACTTCAGTCATGGCCATGCAAGGAATTCCTGAATTCACCTGCAGAAAACCAAGTAAGTAACAGCAGAGCAGGCAATTCAGAAGTGGCTCATAAGGTCTGCAAGAGCAAGTTGAGAATATCTAACGCAGGAGTCATTCCAGTTGCTCTAACCACATTTCTGTCACTGTAACATCAAACTAAGCACCTGAAGAGCAGCAGTTGTCTAATATAGGTCCCTTAAAATGGAACAAAAGAACTGATTTTCCACCAGTTGTCTCAGAAGAGGAGCCTCTAGGAGTTAAGAAATAATCTCCTTCAAATAAGTGTGTGTGTCCTCAGAGCTATTTGAGTTTCCCACTAGACAGACAGACCCATACATCAAGGACTCCAGAGAAGGAGCTCAGTGGCACTGCAAAACGTTCAGTGAACTGTAGTAAAATAATGTTCAATACTAGACAGCACTGGAAATGAGATCACATTTAATAGAAAAGCTCCATCATCCTCCCCACCTTCATCATTTTTTTAATACAAAATTTTGGCTCATGTTTTTTTTTTTAACATAAATTGATGCATTTTCTAGGGAGTTAGCTGCCAATATATATTGTTCTATCTCTCTTGCAAATATTCAGCACATTTGAGACCATCAATTTTACTGAACATGGAGCTTTGCCCAGCTAACTTAAAAGGACACAGGTTTTATTCAGCTTTCTTAGTTGTAATTCAGGTTTGTTTTAATAGATAGCCAAAGACTAAAGACTGTGATCATCCCATAGTGCTTGACTGCTTTATCATGAAGGTTCAGGAAAATGGGAGCATTAAAATATAATCTGTGTACATAGGATATGAAATTTATGGCTGTTTTTAACTATTGCTATATTAATGAAAATATCCATAAAGATTTATGTTCAGATTTTTAAGTACCCTTGCAGCCACTCCTTTGTCCAGTATAGTTTCCTGTAAACATCGATTTTCACTTTTACCCATAAAGAATCATTCCACAAACTCATTTGCAAGTGCATTGAATTGATAATTTCTGAGGAAATAAACCAAAACAAAACACACAAACAACAACACAGATACATCACATCAAAGAGACTTTTAGTTGTCTTATTTATCCATTCACCACTGCAGGGCCATTTTCCCTGTACTAAAACCACCACGCTAATTTTCATTTTTATCTGTGAGAGAGCACATGATGCAGCTGGAAGCATATTACACAGAGAATCTTATGCTGAAAAACTAAGCTAGACTATAAAAAGTTTATAAATACAACAACTCAGAACTCGGAGTGAATACAAGTTTTTGACATTGTTTAATCTCATTAGTCACATCAGTTAGGAACAGCTTTCACCATAACCACTTCCAGTAGCCACATTAAAATAGATGTCTAATTAAAATAACACATATAGAACACATATGTGTGTATATATCAATAATATATATGTGGATCTAGATATGAAATGCATATAAACACACAAACCCATGAAAGCATTAAAGTGTATGTATGAGAAGCGAATACAGGAGTTTTAAATTTTTGAATTTCAAAGCCATAATTGTTTTGTTTGCAGAAAACTTTCATTTTGATTGGGTTTTTTTTTTTGAAGGGGGGAAAATACTCTGAAAATTTTCAACTCAGAACAAAAAAAAAAAAAAAAAACTTGACAAAGTTGTCATAGTTAAAAGACGTGTCTTTCAAGGTGAGTGCAACACCAGGGACCATTGCAAAATGCAAGGAATGTTGGCTAACCCTGCAGCAGCACAACAATGTGTTTAACTGCATGATCCATGCACAGGCTGTTTCTGCCTGTCTTTTCTACTGACAGCAAACCAGCAGCTGAACCAGAAGAATCCAAAAAAGGGACTTTTGCTGTGGTTACATGCCTTTTAAGTTATACCAAAAATTTTAATTTTATAGCAGCAAAGGAAAGCAGTATACAGCTCTCAACAAAACTTCACAACATCAGGGCAGGGAAAGGGTTGCCTGAGATGTGCTGCAGGAGACTCTTTAGCAGCCTAATAGAACCGAGTTGGAAACAAGAGGATAACTATGAACCCACAGACAATGTTCCAGCCACAAGCTTCATGCCCTTCCCAGGTGTTTGGATGTGCTTTGCAGAGAAACAAACACATACACCCTCTACCAGCAATACAGAAATTAAATGGCATACCTTGGAATAATTTTTCCAAGTGAAGAGGACTGAAAGGGGCTTGATAGTCCCTCAGAGCATTGCAGAGACAATGCCCTGAAGAGCAAACCTTAAAGCTTGAACATGGATGCAAAGCTGGCTATCCTAGTCCCCCAGGTTTTCCCGTCATGCATCCACTTTTTATACGCTTGTTCCATTGTTAGACAGGTTTCCCTTTCTCTCTGCAGTTTTCTCTGAAGTGGTGGATTTGCATCTCTGAGTTCTCTCGGTGGATTGCCCTCAGCCTCGTTCTCTCAGACAACACCACAACTCAAAAACTCTCCCCAAAACCCTAAACCTTTGTATATCCTCCTGAAGCAGTAATACTCAAAATCAAATCCCTAATGCTCCTCTTATCCCATAAATGCAGGAATGCTATACAGCAAGCACATAACCTTGTAAATTCCTGCTTTTGCCTTATAATGCAACAAGCCAAATGTAAGAGAGATGAAAAAATAACATACCTTGCATGGTCCATGCATTTGCCCTGCCTGGGCTCCAGGCTGACTTTGCTGCAGAGCACCAGCAGACTGTCTGTCCTGGCCTGTGCACCTCCAGACCTCCCCTGTTTCCTGGGGTGCTGGAATCCCCCATCCTGCTAAGATGCCTCTTGCTGCTGCTGCCCAGCCAGCGCCTCTCACCTGTGCTCCTGCTGCCTCCTGAAGCCTGCATGGCACATGCTGGCCACATGTTAGAAGTGCAGCCCTGCCATTCAAAGGCTTGGGGATTTTTTTTCTTTTCTTTTCCCCTCCCTCCTCTCCTCTCCCACTAATCCTCATCCTCACAAGCAGCCACACCTTTCCCCTCCTGCAGCTGAAGTGGAGCAGGAGCTGCTGTTCTTTCACATGACTGCTGCCCCAGTCAGGCTGCTCCATAGGGAAACAGTTTCTCAGGGAGGTGGGAACAGAAAAAGGCACAAACACATTTGCAGAAACACACATATATTTATTCACTTAACTCCTTTTTGCTGCTAAACCCTCCCTGAGCTGTGGTGGCAAAACCAGACACAGCCCTTGCATAGAGAAATGAGGCTGCTGCAGGGTGGGCCAAATACATCTGCACCAAAGATGGGACATTAGAAGGAAGTGTTTATATGGAGAGAAATATACACACTATAACAAAACAAATCCAAGTCCAAGAGACTTCAGTGGCAAGTTTTACTGCTACATTTCCACCTGAGATCCCCTTCCACACCCCCTGTTCAGAGCAGGAGGCAGAAAGCTCAGCAGATTACCTGGGCCTGAGGTGTATTGCAGGTCAGCAGCCAGCCAGCTCCTCTCCTTCACCAATGCCATGGGAGGCAGACTGTGGCCACCTGAGCCACACACCCTGACACTTTCCTCCAAAAGCTTAAGCTGCGGGTGGCCAGCATGCAACTTGCTGGAAACTCCTGAAGCTCCCAGACCGTCCCACTTACCCCTGCCTCAATATAACCTGAATAACCTGAAATGCCTCAACATGCTAGGGAGGCAAAGCAGGACACCCATTTTCTCCCAGGGTAAAACTCTCCCAGTTGTATTAACTGCTCTTTTTAGCCCAGGAATATGATCAAAAGCTCTGCAGTGTAGGGAAGGAAGGCAGAAGAGAGACAGGAGCAATCCTGGCATCAGAGCCTGCCTTACCACCTGCTCAGCTTGCTTATCTGACCTGAAATACTGCATAGGGCTACCTGCTCTAGAAAAGGTTCTCCAAATTCTCTGACCCTTCAAAGAGGTTAAAGGATTGAGACATCTTATTCCCAAGTTTTTCTTCCTTTTTTGAAATAATCTGTTCTGAATAAACCACTTTATTCGTTTCTTTCCACTTAAAATATACATATTGGGAATAGATGACATATAGCTAACATGGCAAAAAAATTCACAGTAAGAGACTAAGAGTACCCGTTCTCAAATTACCCCACCCCCCCAAACTATTAAGTCAATATCAGCATTTTCTAGTCTTGCCTACTTCTGGTATGTTTATAGGTATATTTAGCCAAATGGGACAACAATAATTACTTTCAAGAAATTCTGTTCCAGCTAAGCATATTTGACATTCACACACAGCATAAAACTAAAAGTGCATACATGGGATTTTTTCAAAGTTTAGGTTAAGCAGAAAAACAGCTTTTAGCTTTTTATTATCTACGTGTGCCCCAATTCAAAATTTTCAGCTTAACCTCTCCTTGTCCAGGTTTCAAATATTGGTGTTAGCTGGTAGACTGGATAACACATAACCAGATACAAAGGGCATGGTATAGATTTGATATGACTGAATTATTTTACATCTTAGCAATCACTCTATCCCCTCTCCTTTGTATAAAGGGAATTATCCTTTAGCTGCCTCTCCTTGGAGGAGATATGCTGCCAAGGGTGAGCCAGATCTTCCATGGTTGTTATTAATTCATATCTGGTTTTGACAAGAACTGATACAAATATTAACTTTTGGTAGAAAATAAAAACACATATATATGTAAGTACTGTGTGGAATGTGTACTCACATTGCATCTACTGACATGTGAGTAATTTGCTTTGGTTCATGTTGAGACTAGAGATGCACATCCAAGGACAGAGATTTGCACTCAACCACAGAAAAGGTGCACAGCAGACCGTGTCACTGCTTAGCTTCACTTAGCTGCTTTAGGAGTGGAGCCTCCATAAGTTTCCTCCATAAACTAAGAGAGAAGGATAAGCTGGAGTAATCTGTAGTAAGATCAAAAATCTAGTCTGGGAATAATTCTTGATAAGAGCTTTACTTTTCTTTACCATTAAGTAATAACATAGCACAAGGAAACTAGCTACCTGATTTAGCTGGCTAAATTGGTTTCCTGAAATAAGAAGTGTAAACCATGACCCACTGTGTCCATTTTGTCATCCAGTCTCCTTCCATTTTTTTCTGGATTCAATAAGCACTTAAAAGTTTATTCTGGGGAGGCGATTCCACAAGTGCGTTGTCTTCTTCCGTGGGGAAGAGCAGTACCAGCCTCCACTATCACAGCTTGTCTTCCCCTACACAAGGCATCCATCAAGATCAGGACAGATTGCAAATCACAGGCAGATGGTGGAAACCACCCTTGATCTCTACAGATCAAGGCAAAAATAATAAATTTTTAAGGACAAGGTGTTGCTTCCACCTGTCTCCCTGCAGAGCAGTGGGTAGAACACCTGGCAGAGCCAGAACATACAAAGCACTAAAAGCCACAAGGGGTTTCCTTGCCTTCTTACCTAAGGATTTTGAGACTGCTTCTTGTGGAAGGAGAGTGTAAATAGCAATTTTGGAAATAAATAAAACAACAAGAAAGACTTTTGCTCTGCTTACACACAGAAGGATCTATGTCACTAACAAACGCCTTGATCTTTAGCTAGTCGCCTCAGACTGCTTATCTGTCAGATAACCTCAATTTGATTGAGAGCCCTTGTGGTGACTTTTCATGTTAGTACAATAAAATACACTGCTATGGATGTCCACTTCATCAGTGGTGTGGTTGAGAGGGTGGATTATTTTTTTTTTTGTTGTCTGTTTAGCTGCACAAGATGAGGTAGGTGCATTGCAGATCACTGCTTCAGACATACCATGGCAGAGGGGCTGGGGAGAGTTGGAGCATAATGCATGGCAAACAGATTTAATTCACAAAAATAATTTATATTTACACTAGGGACTGCAACACCATTAAAAATCCCCACTGCAGGAAAAGCCCAGGATAACAATGACTATAAACATCTTTCCTGAAAAAGCTTGATGCAAGGCAGTGAAGGCCAAATTCTAGCAGAAAGCCTTCAGCATGTGGAACCTAGATGACTCAAGATGAGGAGTTATGAGTTGTCTTAGTAATGCACCATAAAATTTTAAGTAATTAATTATTAACTTAAGTTTCAAAAAATACGTACTGGGGACATACATTGGTATTTTAATGAAAAGACAAGTATCTCAAGAAGAGACTGGCTTGTTGCATTCTACAGTCTGTACAGGAAGAAGTCTTTAAGCTTAACATCTTCTCTTCTCATCAATAACTGTGATATACCAGCTGAATAAAAGTTAAATAAATCCTAAAAGCTTTAATTTTTACTATGGAAGTGGAGAATGAAAGATGAGACTTCACAGCAGCATGAAGTTTACCCAGTCCTCTCTATTTAACCAAGTTTTCATATCTGATAAGAAGAATTCTGTTCAGAAAACAGCTTTGTTGCAAGTGCTGACAATGGATAACACAGAGTTTGCTACAGACCTTGACAAAAAATAATTGAGAGCATCAATCAAAATCTATTTGGAAAACCTCACTGTGTATTAGATACAAGTCATGGATGTATCTTCCTAAGTCAAACATTCAGTCAACAGGGGTGAAGACTGAGTTGCAGAGTGCCAGCTGCCTGAAATATGTAACCTACATCATCATTCACCAAACAGATCCTGTCCCAAGAGCCTTGGCACCCTAGGTCTCACCTTTGCCTGAAAGTGTGTGCGCTCAGAGACACAGAGGGGCTTTGAATTCTGCAGCAGGGTTTCTTAGAGAAGTACAAGCTAAGCCTTTAAAGAAAGACTTCTGCTCTGCAAGCAAAGCAAACTGACTGAGCCCTCCCATTACACAGAGTAGAACAAATCCTCTCCTCAGCTTGGTAACTTTTACCAATTTCCTCTCTTACACAGACTTCACACAGACCTCCAGAGTCTCTGTTGCCTCCAAAAGCCTAGAAGGCTGACGCATATCTGCCCCACCTTTGCAGATGCTGACATTGGAATGTAGGGTAACCTTGCTCCCCTGCAAGGGGAACATATTGCAAATGCAGTGGGCTCCAGCAGGTGCCACCCAAGTTTGTCAGAATAAAATTACAATTTGATAGATAGCAAATGGCAAAGCTTAGTTTTCATTGCCGCTGGGTAATGCAGCCTTACTGAAAAACTTCAACAAAATTTGAATGATCTGAACTCACTCCTGACTCCAGCACATAGCCATACAAAGACTCCTAATTGCAGTCATTTCGTTGTAAAGTTGCCATACCTTCTCTGTGATTTCTCATGGTCAGCTCCTTGCAGCACTGACTCCTTCACAGCACAGCCAACAAACTCCAACTCTCCTCTCACCCAGTAACCCACTTTATCTTTATTGGACACAGCTGTGGCCTGTTAAGGGCAGGCCTGTTCCTAATCTTTGGTGATTAGTTCAGCTGCAACTCCTCAGGGGTGAGATTGCCTTCTGCACTATCTCTATTTTCTTACATTCTATCCCCCCACACCTAATGTTTTTACTTCTGTTTCAAAACACATATTTCTCCCCCACAATTTCATTGTTTAGCCTTTAATAATTGAGTCATAAGCAGTTTTCACTGTTTAAAAAAAAATCAAAGGATTTTTTTTTCCAGTTCTTGGAATAGGAATATGAGATAAAGAACACGTACAAAAATAGCTGCTTTCAATTTAACAAAATCCCACTTGTTATTACTGAATTTCACTTGTTGAAGTGAACGGCAAGCATAGGTTTTTACTGCATTTTATTAGGTTGCTCATTAAGGTACATTTTTGCAACTTCTTGGGCTTGAGGTTAGCTTAAGGATGCCATTGTCCTGAGTAGAGCTTGAGAATTCCTGCTGCATAGGAATAAAGCATGCAGAGAGCCTGAGCCTTGTTTCCTTCCAAAGAGCCTCTCAAAACACCACTGCATACCCAGCTCCTCTTGAAACACTGAGCTCACTTGGCTTTGAGAGACATCACTACATCTCATGTTTGTCTTATACTTTATGGACTGCAATGTAACAGCACGTGCCCTTGAATTTTTATTAGTCTATGCAGAATCAGATTTTATAGAGAGCAGTACTTGTTCAGCTAAAACCAAATGCTTTATTGTCACAATACCACTTCATTGTTTTTAAAGACACTGCAGTATTTTTCAAAACACACGTTTCTAATTTGGATTAAAAAAACTCCTCTGTGTTTATCTGTGTGTCAAGGGAAAGGCAAACTAAGCCAAACACTACCATAATTCATTTTCTACTAGAACATTTGGTGATGAGAATTTCCCAAGAAGAGCATTTGCAGAGAAGCAAAAAGCTGAGCTGAGAAGAAGAGTGAGCTCACCTGCAAACTTTGCTTCAGAGAGATCTTACTGAAACATCCAGCACTCCAAATGCAATATCCTGTCATCCAATCCACTGGCAGTCACCTAGTCACCAGGGTGTTCTTGGTCAAAATTTTCTTTATTTTCTGGAGATAGATACAGATTTTTAATCTTCCAAATGAGACAATGCTGCCTGCCCCATTATGTGGTTGTAGGTTGTGACTGGAGATCTGGGGGTGAAGAGGGAGAAAGCAAGGCCTGAGCAGTGCTGTCACAGAAACTTCAGCAAAGGTTTTTGAGACTGAAGGTACAACTTCATGACTCCTTAATATAATTTCCTTATTGAGGGAGGGGAAAGCAGTAAAAAGTAAAAGACCTGAACTAAGCTTATGTGCTTATTTTAAAGCTTTATAAAACCCTCTCAATCCAATTATTGGAAAATCAATCACCATGTCTTTTTGTTCAGTCACAGCAAGAGCAACACTCTCTCACAAATTACAGTTCTCCAGGCACCCATTTCCATTAGAATGTTCACAAGAAGTTTGTTAACTAAGTTGGTGACTGGCTAAGAAGATGAATAATAAAAAATGGTAAATAGTGAAGCATCAGCTCTATGTTGTATGCAGTTTTTCTTCATTGTTTTCTTCCCTCCACCTTTGCCATTATACTGTTAGGTTATAGCCCAAACCCAGCTGAATAACTCAAGCATTGTTTGAACCTAGCTGTATCTTTCACTAGTACAAGCACCTATTTTTGCTTGATTTAAACAGGAGCACATGTGCGGTGACATGGAGCAGAACAGCTAAATTGAAATGGACCTAGGCCATTCATTTTGTTCAATAATACTTACAGTATGGTCCAGAACAGAGAGAATTTTAGCTTCATTCTACAGAATGTCTTCTTCAACATACAAAATGGTCAAATAATTTCAGAGGCAGATATTGTAAGTTTAGGAAATGACAGAAATAATTTGGTCAGAATTGCTTGTAGCTCCTGAACTCAGATCCCTTGCATGCATTTAAGATGAGATGAACTGTAAATTCCTGTAGATTGGTTCTGCATCCTTGGGAGGGGTAGATGAATGTGTTGAAAGAATACAGGAAAGCTGTATGATTTTCTTTTGCTTCAGGAAAAAAAATTCTCTCTGTGAACAAGATTTATATGTCCTCTTTTTTCTTTCTACCTCCCTGCATGATATTAGACAATGGAGATAAGCTCACTGTTTCACAAAGAGCTACTTTACTTTCTTGTTATAAGTGTCTGACTTAAGCCCATTATTCAAATTTGCAATGCTGCTAAGCACTCCCAAGATATAAAGCCAAGTTACCTGAAATTTCAAAGTTCAGTCCTGTATCACCACACTATCACATCGACTACTTTGAAGTGCAAGTTAATTGACTCAACTGAATGGATACTTTAATCTTAGCGATTTTCAGCCCTGATTTTTCTCAATTTTTAAGGAGATAAGCCTCAAGAAACATTCAGGTGCTGGGATAAGATCCTGCAAATGCCTATATGACAATGGTTTACTGTCTTTAGCACAGGCTAAAAAATAAGGCAAGGGGCCACACACTGATGTACAAAGAGAATCCCCAGTCCTGAACAACTCCCTATGCAGGCAGAGCTGTCTCTTCTACAGCCTGAGGGAAACAGCATTCTGATCATAATTGATAATGGACATCTATGTCAAAATGATAGAAACAGAGAATGGTTTGGGTTAGAAGCCACTTTTAAGACTATCTAGCTCCAATGCTCCTGTCACAGTCAGGGACACCTTCCATTAGACCAGGTAGCTCAAAGCTCCATCCAGCCTGGCCTTGAACACTTCCACAGATGAGGCAAACACAACTTCTCTGAGCAACCCATGCCTCACCACCATCATAGTGAAGAATTCCATCCTAACATCCAATCTAAACCTACCTTCTTTAATGTCATTACCCCTTATCCTCTCACTCACTACATGCCCCCATAAAAAGCCCCTCGTCAGCTTTCCCAAAGGCCCTCTTTAGGTACTGAAAGGCTGCAATGAGCTCTGCCCAGAGCCTTCTCTCCTCCAGGCTGAACAACCCCAGCTCTCTGAGCATGTCTTCATAGGAGAGGTGCTCAAGCCCCCTGATCATCTTCATGGCCCTTCTCTGGCCCGGCTCCAACAGCTCCATGTCCTTTTTTGCTGAGGCCCCAGAGCTGAGCACAGTACTCCAAGTGCTTCATGTATGCTAGTGAAACAGTCACACGTATCCATCTGAATTACAGCTTTCTCTAAACCGTGAATATTTGACTTCACAGACCTAACACGTTACTTTTCCACACCAGTGTAAATGAACTGTGACTTAAGGACCCAAGTCTTGGGGAAACTCATGGGGTTTTAAGAAGGAAATCACAAAGAGACTTATCAATATTTTTCATTAAACAATTAAATCTAGCAGACATTCTTATGGCCATTGTCATGTACCTCAGCAAAAATGCTTCTTCATGGATATTTTTGTAAATAATTTGACCTAGCAAAATATCCTACTACAGCTAAGAGTGTTTTAAAATCCCGACTATACAATTGTGTGGTCGGAAAAACCTCCCAAATCTAATGTATTATACTGGAGCTTAATTCCAGGGCTATAAATCCAGACAAAGATATTTAGTTTGATTTTTAAATAAACTCATTTTGCTGCTCTTTTCTTTGGATGCAGCAATAAATAACATCACGGTACTTCAAGGGTGAATGCTGCAATGTGTACACAGTAAAAGCAATTTATTTTAGTTTTATTTCACAGGTGTCTACAGAGCAGTGTATTCAGCAAAAAGGAAAAAAAGCTATGAAGCAGCATATTGTTCATCAGGATGACACATCACAGTAATTATTTCTGTTCTTCTGGGAATATAGGTTCTGCTACAAGGCACTTTTTGTTACAGCAGCAGTGCTTCAGAAAAGTAAATAATAATAATGCTTAAATAAAAGTTCAGCAAATTAGAAGATTCTCAACCTGAATTTCAACAATTACTTTTATTTTAAAACGCAAGAGGTAAAGTATAGCTTTCACTGTTAAGATGCATGTAACTGACTTTAACGTGGTTCTTATGAGGTGCCCTGAGTATTTTGACAAACACTAATATATTCCATTTTTCCTCAGTGAATGCACCTAACAGGGTGCTTGAGGAAGCAGGCAAGTTTGGCTTTGTTTAATAGGACCTCAGCTTTGCACAGTACTTTCTGACTCAGCACTATAGGCCAATTTTACTTCAAAGTTCTGTGCTGCAATCTTACCTTCTAAAAACTCTTAGCACAACAAATCTGTCAATACTTTCTGCCTAGCTACATTCTTTGGAGAAATGGCCAGCTGCTCCCATCCTGTAAGGGTTTTCTTCCATCTGGAACAAAATACTTCACACAAAATGCCATAATAGCTTTGCTTTAGACATCAGTACCCCTCCCCAAGTAGAAAGTTGTCCACTGCTGGCACTCCCACCAAGTGACACACCTGAAAGTTCATTTCTCAGTTAATGGGGATTGCTGGCTAGCTAGATCTGAACTGTGAGCACATCTCACCCCTCAAATATTTTAATGCTTTATTTTTTATTAAAATGTCGGAAAGGTATAAGTGTTGAACTTATCCACATTTCAGACAATTTAATTTTTCAAAACTTTTATTAAGGAAGTATCTTCAATTTTGGCTTTTAAAAAACAATGAAAAGGAAGTCTTCAAGAATGTACGTGCACGAAATGAAAGGGTCTTATAGCATTAAATGTCTCTTGCATTACTTATTTCATGCCAAATCTGGATTTTGCTAGCTAAAGGTTTTATTTGAATCAAAGAGAAAAGTTTTGTCTGTGCATTTCCAGAAAGGGGTTTACATTGTCAGAGTAGTTTCTAGAAAATTACCAGATACCAGATGACCCCATAGAACTCACTCACCTAACAGATTTCATTTTCCCTGTTGGGAAAAAGAAAAGGAGCTGCCTAGTTTGATGTTCAAAGTTATGGGTGCTTCAAGTTTTAGAAAGAAAACTGCCCTGAAATT